TTTAAATCAAGCTATCTGTGCTTGAATGAATAAAACAACAATTTTAAATAAAATCTTTCCTTTGAAAGAATTAAACGCGGCTCGAACAACGTGGCGATCATTATCGTCCTAGGAAACCACGCGTGACGATCGCGTAATTTTATTTTAATCCTGTGTGTAATAATAGTTTCTATCGCGTTTAATTATCCATCTGAGCGAAAGATAGTTTCGCCAACTTGACTACAGTAAACGCGAACACGATATGGCTTACTTTCGTTTACTCTCGCTGCAGAATGCGGAGAAATACCATACAATTATCGAGTACTGTCGTTTATGTAAGTCTACCTATGAAAATCTACCTATGAAAAAAAAATTAATAAACTGCTCATACTTTAAATTCTAATACTGATATTTTGTATTTCAAATACATGTATTGTAAGCCGAGGCAATTTAATATTTATAAGGGGATTTCAATATTATACGCGGTCTCGTATTCAGTAAACGATCTTGAGAAAAATCTGACATATTTCCTTCTATTTAATTAAAATTAAAGGAGAAACAAGGTTTCTGACATTTCTCGACACGCGCAACTTTGCAACGTAGAGTTACACTTGCAATTATATGGTAAATGGATTTAGAACAAGAGGGAATGAATTCAAGTGTAATATTAAATTGAATTTTGATAGAATTATATGAATTAATGCTGTAACGATATATGAACAAATACTGTTTGCATGCGCTCTGTTATATTATGCCATTAATACGAAGCAAATTGGATATTACATTAATATGTGCATACAGATACAAGAAGAATTCGATTAGTCTGAAAAAGTAGATTACATTACACGAAACAAACGAAATGTGAGATTAAATTAGAAATATATAATGTCACGTGAAACAAGCGCGATGTAAAATTAAATTATATAATTATGAATTTATTCCAACCAGCAAAAGAAAAAATTAGTTACGAGATAACCGATTTAATAATTTGTAAATATCTCCGTGTTGTTTTTTTTTTCACATAATATAAAAGATTTATAATGTTGTATCAGTCATTAATATTCTTGTTTCGCCCATTGAGAATAATTTAAGTTAATACATATGCGTTACAATAACGTGTATTATATTCATGTATATATAATGCACAATTAATTCCTATGTTGAAATGGAATAATTAAAAAATTGTAATATTGACTTTACCAAAGTGTCTTAATCAAAAATATATTTTTACAATAATTAATGCTATAAAATAGTAAAAAGATTATTTAGATCGTAAGATTGTTGAAAAGCATAAAGAAATTAATATTAATTTCTGTAACCTTTATTTTGTAAAGTCGCTTCCTTCGTAACATAAAATTAAGTTTTCTTTTCCTGGGAGTTACTCCGAAATTACTAGAAAGCGATACTAAAATGCAAATTATATGTGGCACAAGGTTCATCCGCCCTATGCATTTCCTTGAAAAACTTCCTTTACATAATACGAGATAAGTCATTCAGGCACACGTATGGGAACGGAATACACCATAATTCCCATCTGTGCTATTAACTTACAGCATTACACAGAATTATTTCTCATTACGTATGCGTAAAAAATATATCTAGCTTAAAAATTATTCTATTCTATTTTTAAAAAATATATACATATTAAAATCACAGATATTTTCGTAATTATAAATCTCCATATAAATTTTCGCTAAGTCAAACATTTACTCAATACTGATTAAAAAAATGTCATCACCCAAATATATCATCTAATGATATTAAAACATTTTTATCTGATGAAATAAGACAATCCTCATTTTCTAAATTAAATATTGATGATTTAGTAGAACAGAGATATTCAAAGAGAGCAAAGATCTATATGTACAATTTTAGAAAATTGTAACCGTGCATTTGCGAGGGAAGCATTGTACGTTTCGCATCTTCAGAATTAAAAAAAAACATCGAACAACTCTTAAATGTATTCTTTTTTGACAAAAAGCCTGTATGTATCATACAGCATTTAATACAACAAGTTGCATGTATGCATGACTGCGTGCGTGAAACGAACATGACACCTCGAGGCATAAGGTATATTAATGCAATGACGATCTTGACCGATTTAAATGACGCTTTTAAACAGCCAGAGCAGATTTAAATAGCAACGTGGCATAAAGTACCGGAAAAATTGACGTTGATTTAATGGCGTAATAAAACCGAGAAAATAGATTCTGCTCGTAATTAAACAAAAAAGTCGATGATATCGATTATATCTATATGAACAGAATATTTATTGTATGCAGAAGATGCGTCTCGTATGACAGGTTCACTATCCTAAATTTTCGTAAGCTAATGTCACTAACGTTATTGGAACGCCCACAATATTGAGTAATATATGGTATGACAAACACTAAATTTCTTTATTAATATCGGCTTACGAATCGGTCTCCGTTAATAATTGTTTACGATAAAGTATAAATTTTCGCAGACTTTAATTTATATTATTTATATCGCGATCAAACGTTTCACATTAAATTATTAGCTAATATTACTGTATGAAACTCTGCATTGAATTCTGTATAATGCGATAAACTTCAAATTTTCATGAGCCTAGATTAATATCAGCTTTGAAATGCTTCCGTTAATTTATAATATAACAAATATTAAATTCTCAAAAGAGTTAATATTACTAAAATAATGTTTAAAGTACAAAATTATATGCGATTCAATTAAATTAAATATTAATTTTTGTAAAGTTTATTAATGTCATTAATATTCTATTCTGTCAAAAGTGTTTTATGTATTAATATACTTTTTTTTTCAATTGAATCAGGGAAAATGTCACTGATTAAAAGTGACACAAGATCTCAACGAAATTTAGTGAGTATTTCATTGATCTTTAGTGAAAATACTTTGCGCCTCTGTCTTATATTCCATTAATTATGACAATAATATTTCACTAAAAAATGAATAATAATCGTATATATTTGCAAGATGTAACTTTTAAAGCTTTTTCTATATATTTATTTTAGATTGCTATTTTTTGGAAAAGAGAAATCTCCACACACACAATGAAACATTATAATTGCTATTCAAATTCAAAATTATATACATATTTTTTATTCTTAAGATGTGATAAACTCAAAACAAACACGAATCTTGGTCAAATTCAAATATTTTTTTAACAAAATATGTATTGCCATAAAAAAATTATCTCATATATAATATTATAATATATAAGACGCATTTTAATATTATAAATTGAAATAGTTACTATCGTTAATTAATTCTTTCAATGATATTTTATTAATATGCGAGGTGCTACACCTATAAACTAATTGTAAGACTGTCAGTGACTTTTCACTATTTTTCAGTAATAATATATTGATTCTATTTAAGAGAAGAGTATATAAATAATATATAACACATCTTTATCATGCTGTTAAAAAGACTTCTTACATATTTTTTAAGTCATGGCTCTATTATACAAGGGGTAATTAACGTGTATTTACCAATATAATAGTCGATGTCCGTAACATGGCTGATTATTTTCGAGTTACAAACGATCAATTAATGCGATAGCGATACGGTCGAGATATGTAAATTGTTTATACTGTTACTTTGTCGTTTATGTTTCGATGTTTTATTATACAGAAGTGGCTGCTTTCAAAACTGCATTATTATTACACGATGCATTGTTAATTATTATCGTGAGTAATGGGACAATATTAATAGAGATGCGTTATTACGCTAAATGATAATAATAAAATTGCAGAGAGAGAAAAAGGGAGATTAAAAACAAATATAAATATCAAAGAACCAAATTTCTCCGAGAAAAGAAAATAATTCTCTATTGCGGAGCGTATTGCATTTATGTAACAAGCTAAATATATTGTACAAGAAGCCATGTTTTTTTTATGAGACCCGACATTTACGATATCTTTCTCATAGTACGCTATTCATAAAGCATGCTATTACTACGAGAATTGTATACTAAACATATTTTTTGTGACAAAAACTTGTGACATTTTCCCCATTCTCGGTAGAATTCGTTATGAAGTAAAAAAATACAGGATTACTTCGAGTCGCCTCTTTACACGGCCAACGATTTCTCACCACCCATATTAAATGCCTACACACATGCGACGTGAAATATCGCGGGCGTGTTAAGTATTCCAGCGAAATAATATATCGAACGTCGCGCGTGTCTCTTTGCGTCGAGTGCCGGTCTCGAAAAATTACCAAACTTGCGGTGGAATTTTAAACTTTAAACGATAAATATATAGTAAATCAATTACTTGAGAAATAAATTATTTGATGGATTTGTCGATATATATATTTTCGAATTTCGTATATTATATGATGCTTTTAATGTTATTTACTTTAGTTGCTATAAATAATTACGATCCATCATTTCCAACATAATTAAATATATTCGCATCTAAACATTCTTGAGAAACACATTCGTGATAATTTATAATATTGATAAATACTAATGGCTTTACACGTAACACACTAAATTTAGGATAAATTACTTGTGAAAGATATATTGCGATAAAACGATAAAAATTCTTTGACGCGTTAGGTCTGTTTTAGACAGATACGAAAAATGATAGATATATACGAGAGAAGAAAATTTATATGCTACATCATTTTTGCTATAAATCAAAGTTTCGCGAGACGGGATTTCTGATTTAAAAAGCAGACTGTGTCGCGGCTCATTGGTAATCGCTGTATGCGGCGTCACGGTCATTGATCGGACCATTTGACAGCCGCCATGGTAGCGGTCGTAATCGTATCGGAGCATCGACACGTAATTTCGAAGGAGGAAAGAAAAAAAAAACGGAAAAGTTCTCGCGGCACATTACATCGATCGCGCGACAGGGCGCCTCGCTGCGCCTGACATTTGCCTGGCACAAGGGTGAAAGCGGCGCGCGCTCGTACATTTGCTATCGTCGTCCGATGCATTCATGCGGTTGAAAACGGAAGACAAGTGCGAGAACGCGGGAGAGAGAATGAGGGGGAAAGAATGAAATTTTTACCTGCACCCGGCAGACTGACAGGACGCCGAGCAGTGCGGCCAGCGCCAGCATCCCTTTCATCTCTTCTTCCTCTTCCCGGCCCGCCTACAGTCCCACGTTCTCGTTGAGAATGCCCGAAGAAACTCGGCGAATTCTCCACAAATCCCGCGGAAATCTCCCTATCTCCTCTCTTCCCTACGACGAGAAGGAGAACGATGTGCGTGAACGATATCGAGAGATACGGGACGGGACGATATTGCCGTACGGTTTTGTGCGACGCACGATATTCACTCGTCGTGTATCACGGATAGCGCAGCGAACTACTACTGTCTGCCGCTGTGGCTGGGTGGGTCGCGCTCGCTCGCCGCGAAAGCAAGATGGCGGTGCGCGTCGGCGGCGGTTAACTCGGCCGGCCAATAGCATCGCGCCGTCCGCTCACCGGCTCGTGCGCATGCGCGCTGCGGCTAGTCGATAACGTGGCGGGAACGCCACGGGTTCAAACGACGTGTCGCGCGAGCCGTCCGGAATCGTACAATTTTCGCGATTCGATTAACTAATTAACACCCGTTGACTGCCGGATTCCGATTGACTCTGTTAAAACGTAATTGGAAACGATATGTCCGATATACGATAGATAAATACATATCGTGACGGATGTATATTTAATTTCCAGACAAATATAATAAGTTATGTAATATCTTATTTATTTCACGTTATTGGGGAATCGACAGATTAAAAAAAAAAAAAAAATAATAATAATAAATAAATAAGTACGCTCGTAAATTATAATAACAAAAAAAGAAATTTTATAAATATAGCAGATATTAATTTAATTATTGAGAAAAATATTTGCGATGAAAATATTAATATAATGTAATTTTATATTTTTGAATAATCGGATAATGCTTAATTATATCAGCTTGTTATCATCGTTATCGTTTTTTAATAAAACCAATAAACATCTGAATCCCTAATTGAAGAATTCAATTCCGTGAAAAAATATTCGCGAGAGATATGAGATGTATTAATTATACAATTTTATTCTTCGATTTCTTCCTTCTTATTTTGATGGAATTATTTTTTCAGATTACATTTTCTCTCTCTCTATCTCTTATATATATATGATTTCATATTTTTTTACTATAATAGTGAAAATATTGAAAATTGATATTGGAAATTGGCGATGAATCCATTCGTGTGCATCACGCAGAATTAATTGTAAATTTTAATTTTCAACAAATTTCCAATTCACGCGTCGATATCTTTGATTTATTGGAACTTTGACGTTCTCATTACCTGACGTAGTATGTCCTGTTTATCGTTGCGATAAATCGCATTCGATGTTCAAGTAGCGCGATGATGCATGCATTTAATGAGTTTATTTGTGGTTCTAAATTACAGAGGCGCAAGAGAGACCACAATTGTTATTGCTAGAATTGCGGACATCTCTGAACAGGCGAAATATCCCAAATAAAATTATTACCAACTTTGTTTCCTGCGTAATTGAAGCGTTTCCCGGAATAATGTTGTTTTGTCTGTGCTATGTCATTTTTGTCCAAACTTTAGATAAACCAATAAAACAATTTGTTTCACGGAATATTTAATGAAGTGGCTAAATTGTGTCCGGTAACATTAACGTATTATTTACATTTATAACGTATATATACACATTTCCGTATCAATAAATTTAGATATATTTTCTCGCTATATTCTCCATCTATAAAAACTTATCTGTATAAATAAAGAGCTCCTTCTCGATTGATCGCATTGATATTATTACAAAAAGAAACGTAATATTATTTACTTAAAAACGCGTAGTCGTTTGTTCGCTTTGATTAATGCTGCATAATTCATCTACACTCCGAGCGAAACTCTGTGATTTCTACGTAATTCGAGAAACGAGCGCACGCCGATCGTAAAAATGCGAGGTGCGATTCCTTTTGCTAATTAAAGAAGCTCTTCGTCTTTGTGTCGGAGGAAGGCGAAAGACCGACCAATGGCAATCGATGACGGAGCGAGAGTTCGCTGCAGTAAATTGATCTTCCGAACCTACGCAAGAAATCGAGGCGAAGACTTCGAGAAGAAGACGACGAGGGTATCTTGAAAGACGAGAATGAGGAAGAGAAAGAAGGGAATAAACGAGAGGAACGAGAATGAGACGGGAGGGAGACAGCGGGATAGGATGCGTCAAGAGGGTTGTAGCGAAGCAGAAGTTGAAATGTCTGCATCGATGACAAAATCAACAACCTGTAGATACGAACACGGCTGTCGCTATAACCCCGGCAATAAAGTAAGAAAAAAGAAATCATGTTACTGCTCCATGGAGCACCACTGGAGGAGAGTAACAACGACGACGACGAGGCTCACGTGCAAATATTCCTACGCGAGACACTCCAGGATCACGTGTGTGCGACTACGACATTCGCTTTTAATAGAAGAAGTCGAGTGTTGTTTTGCTTGACACGATCGTCCACAAGTCGTTTCTTCGACGAGAACGGAGAGTCTTTGGTTCTTAACATAACTTTTTAAATTCCTGCTTTTTATATATGTCATTAGCGTTCATCGTTAACTCTCCCTTTAGAATTTTCTAAAAGCTAATTGGTAAAGATAATAGGAGAAGAAATATATTTTTTCCTTAAAAAATTGATTAATGGTGCATTAATGGTTTCTGAATTAAAACGATTACAAGCAGAAACTTTGGCGAGTTAAGGAAAGAGAGTTGATAACGAAATCTTGTTCTCCTGGATTTTATTTTTAAAATTTTATCTTGCGGCTTAATTATCAAAGTATTTAATTCTGTAAGAAGAGAGATAACAGATATAATAATTGCATTAAATTCTGACAAGAATTTTTCATTTATCCTATATGCTTATAATACAAGAATTTCCCACGGGAAGTTGCTAAAACTAATCAGCTCCGTCACATTTTTAAACGCACGTATAAAAAGCAAGGAAATATCTTTTTTAATAGAGGACATTTGGCATTTTTTAAATAAATGTTTATTAAATGATAAAAATATCTCTGATTGTCTTTAGTCCATATGTAAATAAAACTCAGTCCTTAAAAACAAATATCCTTTATCAGAAAATGTTTTATTTATCCTACTCTCTCTCTATATGCGTTTAAAAATGACAGCTAATTAGTTTCACTAATTAGTTTGACTTCCCGTAAGATCCTCTGTATAATACCCTATGTATGTAATAATTTTGAAAATGACAGCAAATCGTCTCAATTAGAGAGAGTTACTTCATCCAAATTATATTACCCAGACTTTCGCTGCAATAAAACATCAATTTTGAAAGATTCTCGGAAATGGCAAATTACAATAATGGCTCTTCCATTAATTTAATTTAAAATATAATTCAACTTTTTGCACGTGCGGTCTTGTATAGCTTTGAACATTAGCTAAAAATGTATATTTCGTTGAAAGGCGATTTAAAAAAAATATAAGCCCGGGTTTTTCATAACTTACTTTGCAAGTTAAAAATAACGCCCACTCTTCAGATAGAAATCCGCTCAAAAATATGTTAATCCACAGCCAGAAAATTTAAAAGTTAAAACTTTTATACATTTAATAATTTTTATTTGTATATCTTTCTCTATTATGCACCTATACTCTTGCGATTACGCCAACGGCCATTAATTAACTGACCATATTCGTGCAAAAAAAAAAAAAAAAAAAAAAAAAAGCCGATTAACAATTACTCGACTGCGGAACTTCTCGTTGAAATTTTTGGCAAAACGCGGTTAAATAAACATAACGTTATTTACAGCGTCCGTAACCGAAAAAAGTGATGTTTATCGATTCCCTCATGCGTAACTACATGCAATCGTTACAACACGTCGTTGGTCACGGTAATTGGCTCCGCGCGTCGAAATAATAATTTTGCCATTCGATGTATTGCATTCACAGCATCGCGTCGATACGGCGCTGGAATAATATGTTTTAACACAGCTGCAGAGAATTCCGCAGGTTTCAGAATCAATTGCGAGACCAAAAATTATAGCACGATTTTATATTTTCTCTCTTTTCCTCTCTCTCTCTCTCTCTTTCCTTTTCTCTGTTATCTCATGCTGATGGAAAGTACAGTGGGAAAGAAAAAGAGAGAAGAGAGAGAATGCACGCTTTAATATCTTCCTCTCAAAGAGTAATGACAATTATCGAGTCGCCACAACGGACAGTGCTGATCTTCAAAGACCGTGGCTTTTTGATATTGCGGTTTCTCGAAGAGACAAACTTTGTGATGAGAGCGGGAAAGACGGAAATGAGAGTAGAAAGGGAGTCGCTGCCGCGTAAAATAGCGCATTAAGTTCCAGGCTAAGTGCGTTCTCCTCGCAACAGCGCGACCATTTTTCAGTGATAACACCGTGAGGGCCGTCCTGGCGATAAAACGTGGCGAACAATCCGTGATATCTTCCACCGCGGACAAATGGGGCAGATGCCATCCGGACCCGCCCAGATAGCGAGGGCCCCATCGCGAACGACGTAAAGACTTGTCTTTCTTTTTTATCGCTTACTATTGTCTAAAAATCCTTGGTTATTTTAGTTAATGAACTAAAATTTTATTTGACAATATTATTAAACCGAAAAAGTTACATATAAACATTTAAAAAATATAAAAAATAAAAAAAAATTATATCTTATAATAGTTTGTTACTTTATAGAAATAAATGTATGCATAGAAATATCTGAAGAGCTATGAGATGAACCTTTGCGATCTGTGCGATTTTTTTTATATTGCATGATGTGGAAGCTGTTCAACTAATTAATGTACTATGTAAATTTATATCTGATGGTTATATAGTCTGATATGAATAAAGACACATTTCAGTCGTAAACTGCGGTCCTAATTAAGAGATTACAATCCAAGCAACGAAAAGAAAAAAAAAACAGATATATGAAAAAATTACTAGTGCAAAATTAAACTGATAAAAAACCATTAAGATAGACCGATTCCAATGTTACAGACACACAAAAATGATATCTGTCTCGCATTAACTCTGACAATAAAAACCTGAGACAAGATTTGTTAAATATACATAGTTTTCCAATTTTATATAATCAAAAAATGAAAAACCATCAAAGTATTATATAAACTCAAAAATTTGTTCAACGTGTTCTCTAGTTAAAAAAAAAAAAAAAAAAAAAAAAATCAAGCCAAATATGTTTACTTTATATAATGATTGTTGATAGTCAATTTAACAATATAGTAGAAATGTAAAAAGATTGAATTTAAAAGTGAAAAGATTCAATTATATTTTGTGTTACAAAGAGCGGTCAGAGATAAATGAAAACAAATGCGCCTCTAGAAAACGGAATTTTTAAAAATTTTTTACGAAAACCAAAGAATTTATCGTCACTCGATCGAGGGATTCGCCCCACTAGCTCGCGCGAACTGACCGTCGCGTACCAACAATGCCTCATGTCTTTTCGTCTTTTTCGGCGGGTACATGAAAATGCATGAGTAGGTAGCCTTGGCCCGTGTGCCTTCGCCTGTGTGTCGGGCACCGTACCGGTTACCCTGGAAACGGTATCGATTTCAACCCTCAGCTATGCAGTAGGAAACCAGCACCACACCATGGGGGTCTCTTCACCCTGAGTTTCGACGAGGCGCACGGAGCCCGTTTCGACAACCCGATTACAAGAGCCCCTGTCTCTTTTCCTCTCTCCCATCCTTTCTACCTCTCACGTGTCCTCTCCTTCTCCCCCGCTCACAACGTTGCTTTTTCTCTCTTGTTCTAATCCTTTGAGAGTTTATTAAGAGCTATAAGACCTAGCAATAAAAATATTTATCTCTCCCTTCTCTCTTTATTTCTCGCTAGTCTCGATTGTTCGATCCGAAAGTTATTACTGGCGCATCGCAAACTGCAAATAGCCCCTCGACTCTCATAGTAGATGATGGATTCGTGAATCTTCCTGATTACAATTGTATTATGCGGCGAGAGAGTGTCGGCTCTGTGTGTACATAATTGGGATATTGAATTGATATTATCGATGGATCTGCCGTGCGATTACATACAGTGATAGCGCGCAGGGTGGTAATAATGATAATCTGAAGATCTAAAACGATTTAAGTAAATGATGAAATGAAGGCTTCTCTCTCTTTTGCTCTCTTTTTATATTAAATGACGTTGAAAAAGTCTAATAACTATATTGCATAAAATCTGACAGCTATATTATTGAAGGTTGTATTCGATCCTATATGCGGATCTAAGAATCTTTTTAGACGAAATCTATCTCAGTATGGAAAGTATATATTATAAAAAAAATTTTAAAACACAACCATTGTTAAAGAGGATGTTGTGCGCGAAATTCGCGAATGCGTTGTCAAGTGCGACAAAGTAAATAATAACTCAAGGCGGATGTAATTCGCGAAATTGAGGTGTTACGGAGAACTTGGATAGTTCAAGAGAGAAAGAGAGAGAGAAACCTCGTGCAAGTGTCGTGACGTCGCGACGCAGTCGAAGGGGAATGACAATGCTAACTAAATGCATAGAATATTTTAACACAGAATGCTTCGAGAGAAAGCTTAGCGAAAAAAATCTTTTGCACAAATAGATTGTTGACAAATTTTCAACCGACCGTTTTATTCAAGATAAAACCGTCATTTCACGCTCTTCAACATTGCATTTCCTGACAAGCAAACTAGAATTTTTTTTTTGAGCTCAACACACACAGAAGAAAATAATACAATGATAACAACGTGAATTATATATTAAAAATCATTGTGTGTTATAATAATATCATATTGTAGAGTGTATTGCTTTAACAATAAGTTGAATTAAAACTTACAAGATATGTGTGATTATACTTTATATAACGTTAATAATATCGATCTCCATAATAAAATATTTAAAAAATCAGGAGTAATCACACAATTCATGATGTATCAATAATAACTATTAGATACTGGCACCAGGTATTATTATTCGAGTATAATAAATAAAGCTACAATACTGACGTGCTACTACATTGGCTAGAATGCTGTCGATGATTCTCACTGCTCGCTCTTTTCTTTTTCAACCTCATACAAGCCGCAAACTTTGTTGGACGGTACAGCTTTATCTGAAACAACGTCATATTACATTCGAGCTCATTGTTGCAAAAATGGCACGATGAGAGTATTTTTATTTTTTTATTCATTCTATTTATAATATATACTGACAATTGTGATGTATATTATAGGTATAATTTATTATATTATTAAAATATTATTTTATTAAAATTTTTAAAATTTATCTCAAGACGCTGTCAAGCGAGACAAAAAGCTTATTTATTCAACATTCGATGGGATGCAATTTCATCGATCTCCTTTCGCTTCACCGACAAGATGTAACGGCGTCTCTGCTCATCTAATATTTAGGCGCGCCACGAGTTATGCGTAAGCGACACAGTTGCTACAAAAATATTCCTTTCTCCGTAAAATCATCTCCATTAATCTTTCTTTAATTTCCGACAATATCGCGTGATAAATAAAGAAAGATCAAAATTAAAAAAAAATCGAGGAAAGTTTAATATCTTGAAATCAGTTCCTAATATCGAACATTCGAAATTCGTACCTTCACAAAGAAAGGGAGTATTTTTTAAATTCTATTTTATTTTACGTACGCTTTATTAAAAATTGTTGTTATCATTTAATTCTCTACGTCACATAATTTGAACTTTTTCGCTCAATTTGTGCTCTGCGTCGTTTCACATCTCATCCAATCATATCCCTTGGTTTTGCGCCGGAAAAAGTTACACTGTTTCCGCAAATTTGTGCGGAATTCGAGAGTTTTCACTTTTCACTCGTAAGTAAAAGTTACGTGATCGAGCGCTCCGTCTGCACGATCGACGCTATTTTCTCGCCGATTCAGCGTTCATTTCACGGAGTGTATCTAAATTTACATTGTAACACCCCAAAGACGATTATTAGCTTATCAGCCGATCGAGCTGATAGCAGCAAAGTGCGTGCAACTCCGAAAATAAAATGTGAATCCCAACGGGATCCGTGCAACCGAGCTTCTGCGAGAGAACCATTTTGATAACGTCTCATAGATAGTGCAACAGTCCTCTCTTTTGCTGATACATTAATTATTTCTGACTATTATCGGGAACGTTGTACTAACAGAATTTATAATGCTACGAGCGCCTAAGTGATACAAAATTTAAAATAGGTTCGAAAAAATATTTTACATTACATATTTTACGATACAAGTTGTTTAATTGAAAAGAAAAAAGATGAATTTACAAATCTAGTTTTATATTAATATATCATTAGAGATTCCTTTGACGTGAATTTTATATGTTAATAGAACATAAGTATCGTAATACTTAAAGAGAGAATAGGACTTTTGTATATAAAAAAACTTACCGATCATCTTGGGATACGGAAGATTCAGATGATTCATGATGTCGACGAACTCCTCGAGTGACTTGGACAGTCTGGGATTGAAAACCTTCTCCTCGGCCACGGTAGTGACGGTTCTGCCGTTGTAATCGTGCGCCGGATATAGTCGATAATATTCCGGCAAACTCAATATCTTCTCGTGAACGGATTTGTACAGAATCGCTGCGGATCCGCCCTGCGCACAGATGGTGCAGCATTTCGAGCGGACGGCTCAATTACAATATGTCACAAAACTATTTGTGATATTATACACGCTGATCGGAAGTGAAAAGTATATGATCAAACATAATCAGAGATAAATAAAATAAAATAATATATGCATGGTGTTCAAAATTAATTTAATCGATAAAAGATGCTTCTGGACGTTGTTCTCAATAAATTTCGAACGAATCATTTTCATGTGTTTATAAAATTAGAAATTGATATAAATTGAATCAATTTCAATCTCTGTCAAGTCACTGTCAAGCAATGAAACGAAATTGCTGTAACTTGAAATATGTCATGGATGGAAATTTCCCTCAACTCTCCTGTGTTAAAGGGTCGTTTAATCGAGCTTTCAAGAAAAAAGAGTCACGGCACGTTTATAAAATGCACCGGCACATGGTCGAACATGATGACGGACGGCTATTCATCACACGAGTTGCGGAGAAGAAGTCTTTCATATTCCGGTTGATATATCGACGTTTACTTGTGCTACATGCGGAACGAAGAGAAAATGTTATTGCGCGCGGCCGTCGACGTTTCGACGAGAATTCAGGATGCTGCCGTGTCGTCCGTGTCTGTTCCAGGTCCGCATCGATCGTCCATTAGTTATGACGTACAAATAAACGCCATTTATCGACATCCGACAATTATATCGGCGACAAATCGCGAACGATATTTCCGGTTAAAAAAGGACACGTTCGTTTTGATTAAGCGACAACGATTCATTGAAAGAAATGCAGTAGCAACTTATCGATAGGAATTAATGCGTGAACTAATAAACTCGTGAGTACAGGTCTGGGAAAAGTTTTATGAGTCATATACAATCTATAGAGAGTTTGTCGAAAATTATCACACTTCTTCACACATGAAATTTTTTGACAAATTTTATACAGTTGATTTCTTTAAAACATTTCAAATGCACATTTTTTCCAATTTTTAAATTACATTATTAAAAATTCTCTAAAAATAACAAAAATCAATAAATTTTAAGTCAATCAATAAAGTATGTAAATAAAAGATAGAATCATATTATTTTTTATTTTTATCGAGAAAAAAGATTTGCTTCTAAATCAATTTTAAAAAATGCGAAAAATTGTGATCTTTTCAACATACTCTGCATTTGTCACATCTTAAAGTATCGCTGATTAAAAGTTACAAGCAGAATAAGAACATGCATATAATATTAACATGCAAGAGATTACATGTTCTCCGCAAGAAAGGGTGAATTTCAACTTTATGAAGAAACTTCGTCGAGTCATTTTCACCGCACGTTTAACGCTAACGTGACCGCCAAATTGTAAGTTTCATTTGCTGATTACTTTTTATTTATGACTCGATTTCGCGACAAACCAACTATGAAATGAAATAGTGGTATAATTTAATAATAATAGATTAAAAGACATTTTAGAGAAAAATTTATAATAATGCTCGCGCGTGCGATCTTTTTTATATAATATAAAAGTTTAGATTCTTCTTTTTCTGTGCTCTTTTATGATCGCAAAAAAATGCTATAATAAAGTAACTGAATTTTCTATCAGATATTATCGTAAATTTCTCAAAAGCAAAAATACGATTTACATGCAATTATATGCGGTTTAAAGGCGCATGGAACGTGCCGATAATGACGTATATTCGCAAAAATACGCGATTTCTCCGGCGAATTTTCCGGTCAGGCTTACCTGAAAATCTGTTCTGCCACATCCTCGTATCAAGAGTGCATCACCCGTAAACGCGATTGCCTGCTCATCGCAAACGTACGTGACGCAACCTGCACAAGTATCAGATGGAATATTTACGATATCGTGCTTCACTTCACGCGACCACCATCCGGCAAGCATCGCGTCGTTTTTTGAACGGAATATGTATCTATCTTTTCACGGCGATTCGCGCTTCGTAATCGGTCGGTACGATAAATTGAGTTCTCGTTCGTCAGCTCGTTCATCCTATTTGCGATATTGCGTTTGGCAAAAAAAGAAAAGAAGGAAATTTGCGAACAGATATATTGCTCTCGCTCGAAAAATGTTGAATGAGACAATATCCAACATAGAAACCATGATTTATATCCAGAGAACTGAGGTAGAGTGAAATATGATTGTATATAATACTTGCATAAATGCGTACAATAAGTTTCCAATGATAAAATTACAATAGCCATTTTCTTAATAAGTTTGACTAAAAATTAAATTAAAATTTGCCATTTGATAAAATTGTATAATAAACATAATGTAATATGATATTACTAATATTAATTTTATGGTAAAAGATTCTTTGTGATTCGTTTTTTTTTTCTTCTAACGACATAATAAATATATCCAAAATAATAAGCGTTCTGACGCTTTAATCAAAAATAATGATATTGAAAATTACTCAACAATTTTGAATTTATAAAATGTTGAAAAGTTTTTCGGAACGTCCTACGTATCGGCACTGAATTCATTTACGTTCTCCATACAAATATTTGCTTTATAAAATATCTGTTGGTTTTTTTTTCTCATACAACAAGTGCGGTGCATTTACCGCAAAGGTTGGAATATCTACGATTTAATTCAGTGTATGAATTCACATCGTATGAGCTTTACTTTTTTAGAGTATGGGAATGAAGCTGGTATCGAATTTTAACTCATAGGTATTTAATGCATGCTATTCGCGTATTTGGCACGAAAAATCGAGCCTATCGAGCAGATCCGATATCGAGATAGCTTAGACGCCTCCAGGATTTCCTCTGGACAAACGATTGAGTCACGACGAGTAGCAAATCTGGCACGATCAATAAGAACCCTCTTTTTTCGTCTCATTCTGCCGTGTAAACTCCTGTAGCAATGTACATGTAGCAGTATACAAGTACAAAGTGTCCCAAAATTACCGAATATCATAAATGTTAGAGACCGAACTAAGGAAAAGGCTGTTTGTTGCCAAAAAATTAATTTATCATTGTCAATTACTAAAAAAATTTAGCAAAAATTTCGCGTCTTTCAAAATTGATATAATATAAATATAATAAAAAACTATTTTTTATTTTATAAAAGAAAGTTTAGCAAGAATCTAATTTCAAGATTAATTAAACTTTAATTAATTAAATTTTAAGATTAATTATGAGACGTTTAAATTGAATATGTTAAAAAAGTCACCGGGGACGAAATAATACACTATTAATCTTTCTTCGCTGAAAAGAAATTAATTTCAACTTAATCGGGAAATATGTAATTTCCGATAGTAGTAGTAAGTTCTAGAACACCCGATGAATAAGATTATCTCAGCCTGAGCGAGAATACTTTCTTAATGATACAAAAGTATATTAGTAGCTACGAATATGTTTGTTAAAAAAGCTATACAAAAAATATGACACAATATTTTCTGGACAAAGAACAACTCAAGTTAATTACTCTACAAACACTACATTTTATATGCAACAAGCGTGTAAAATTCAGAATGCGACACAACACTTTTCTTCTGAGCATACAAAAATAATAAAAAGAGAAAAAAAATATATTACAATATTAAAAATTACGATAATATAAATCTCCACATCCATAAATATTTAATATTAACTTTTTAAAAATCTACTCGAATTATGAATTACTCGAAAATGATAGTCATAAATATACTTTTCATATTTCTATTTTCTTTTCTTTGCGTCTTATTATTAAATATCTTTATTCCACGTATATAAATATCTTTATTCCACGTATATAAATATCTTTATTCCACGTGTTAGAAATTATTGAATTTGCATCATATTTTTAAATGCTTAAGTTTTTAACTTCGTTTTCTGTATTCGGAAAAGACGCGCATTATATCCTTGATCTTTTCAATCCACGTGTAAAATAGCACCGCCTCTCACCCTTTTCGCAAGAAAGTATTTCGCCACTTTTCTCGGCATCTCAATTAATAAAATAATAGACCAGGCGAACGCGATCGATTGTGTAAGAAATGCAACCCGATAGAATTATGAATTTATCTGTAACTTATCACGTTATAGTTTCGAGACTTGCTGCGTCACTTAAAAACTGCATTCTGTATTCATCGCGTAAATATAACGACAGCATTAACAATTGTGTTAAATAATACATTATTATGAATGCATTACGAAGATTTTAAATATAAAATATATATATGATGTGAAAAAGTACACAATATATACATACAGTGTCAAAATACATAATATAAAATATATAGTGTAAATCATTAAAAAGAAAAGATTAAAAAATAATGGATATTTTAAATAAATATGGAATTATTTTTTTTAAGTAAGTAAGAGAGAGAGAGAGAGAGAGAGATTAAGACAAAACTCAAAATATCTGTTATTAAAAAGACATAATAATATAAAAAGTATAAAATAATATAATAATATAAAAGAACATAATAAAAATATCAAAAAACAAAGCAATTAAAAAAAAATAGGAAAGATAAAAAAGAAGTGTGACAAAGAAAAAAAAATACAAATATTCATTTTTCATTTAGACTCGACGAGACAACAACATATATCATGTACGTTTATCGTAACGCGAAATAGCTCACAGAACATGTCGAGAAAATGCTGAAAATCCACGTATGTATCAAATATGATACACTATGCACTTAGCACTTTATAGGGCAGCGCTGTTTTACCACACCATGTAGCTGACACATAGGCGATGGTAAAATGCTAAATGGACAATGGTATATTTTACCACCCAAAAACAAAATAAAGAAAAACAAAAACTACAATCGCGATCTTTCTGACAAGAAAGATCGCACATTATATACCTCTTCGATAATATAATAGTAATTAAGCTTATTATTTTTGCAAGTTTATATATCTTCCATCTTAAAGATTAATAAGTTACAAAATAAAACCGTATGCACACACAAGGTGTCCTGCGAGATACTTAAAATGTCACGTAAAACATTAGATAGATAAAAAGCTAGAAGCATTAAAATCATTAAGAAAATCATATATAAAAAAAAATATAATAAAAAGAAAATATGATAAAAATTATCGATTCTTGCAAACTCAGATTGCAATGAAATTTCCACACATATATCATATAATTTTACTTTAATAAACATCAATTTATTTCAAAATTCTCGATGTCATAAGGTCGCCGGACATCCTGTGTAGATTTTTCAAAACCTATATTTGTTAAATTAATTAATCTAAAAAAAAGAATCTGACCTTCGGTATGACCGGGGGTGGGCAGCACTTTCAATTGGTGTCTGCCGAATTGGACGTGATCGTATGGCTCCAGGTGTACGTCCGCTTCGGCACCGCTACTGCGCGATATCATGGATTTGCAATCAGACAAGAGCGACTTCAGTCGACCTGTTCCGCTGATATGGTCTGCGTGCACGTGCGTGTTGACTGCAATAGTGAGAAAGATTGCCGTGTAGCAAAGACGCTAGTCACTATTACTAGTAAATGCATAATCGATAAGCATTGCCGAGTTCGCGCGAGATCATGCCGCTGTATCATGCTTCCGTAATGCGCTACAGAATGTCCCAGAACCAACCAACATTCTTCTTAATGAGAAAAATAGTTCATGATATGCTGGTTCAATGTACAACGGCATAGTTAGAAAATTATATAACATAGAAAATTTAAGAGAGAGAGAAGACATCTTAACGTAAATGTAACAATTTATTAGTTAATTATAGAATTAATTTTTAGGATATTTAATATCGACCTTTTTAAAAACTTGTAACGCTCTGATATCTATCAGAAAATCTGAACTCAATATCGGAGAAATTTTGGAATATTTTATATATCCCTTTTAAATATCTATAGAAACGTAGATATAAATAATTATATTATGTTAAAACTATTTATTTAATTAGTTATTTCGTTCTTTATACAGTTGAATTACAAATAATTCGCATAGTTTTATGGAAGTTGAACGGTATTAATAGTGTATGCATTATCGGAAAACAGAGAGAGAGAGAGATGCATTATGGAAATGTTCGTTTGTTTCGGACAAAATTGGCATATACAAAGCTTTGCATAAACAAGTGCATATGTTCCACTTGGCCAAAGCGATCTCTCGCAAAAACCACTCCGCGGTCTGATAACGCAATAAATAATATGATAATTCTATCAACTCTAATATATACAACACTATATTCTGTTCCTTCTTGCCGAATCAAAAGTCGTTCGCAATTAAGGCCCATATTTTGGGATCTGGGAATTTTGAAAAGAATTAATATCCTTCACGCGAGCAGAAATAAATATTGAGAGAGAGAGAGAGAGAGAGAGAGAGAAATTAAAGTGTTAAACAAAAAAAAGCACTGTATGTATCTTTTCTACGCAACAGAAATAATATCACATGCTTAAATTTTAATATTATGTTTTGATAGCGATTTAATAATGTATATTTCCATATATATTGTCAGAAATTAATAAAAAAATTTTTGTGATAATGATTATCACGATTCTATGCTTGATTCTAATAACGTTTTGAAATAATTTATTTGTCCTTTTCTCTACTCTGTTATTTTTAATAATAAATATTTCTATAATTGCAACATGATTTCAAAGAGACATACTGCATTAGACAAACAAAAAGTATTTTAAGAGAGAGAGAAAGAGAGAGAGAGTTAAGAATTAAACTTCATTAATTTCCATACAAGTCCGCCCCCGCGCGCGATAAGCACGATTTGTCGACAAAATAATGCTTTTGTCGCGCGATACACTCGAAAATTATACAAAATCGGATCAAATCGTATGTAAAGAGAGTCAAAGTTCTTTATCGATATTAGTAAAGTTCAACGATATGCCTGGACATATTCTCACCGGGTTTATGGTCCACGGCCCCGTGTTAACCCCCGGAACAATGACAAAACTATGCGCGACCGTCCTTAGCAGCGTAGTGGGATTGCATGCCAATTCATTATGAAGTTCGGCAAATATTGGTCGGTTAGTAGGATAGTTTGCAATATAATTTTGCGCTCGACTCGTAAATCACATTACGCGGTATCGTGTAATTGCCGACAAGTACATTTCCGACGAATAAGTAACGACGATAGTAAAATAATATATTTTGTTTCAAGTAGTGTATATATAATTAATTAGTTATCAGTTAAAGCTTTTATAGAGAACGTTAATAAATTTTAGAATGTTACATTTGTAATATTGGAATGTGATTGATTTTGCACAATGTTAATGTTAAATACCTCCTAATTATTATTACACGTATCGCGCGTATAAGAAAAAAGTATAATTTTTATAGATTATAATCTCAGTCGATATTATCAGAAAATTTTTTCAAATTTCAAAGTTGCATCAAACTCGGTGAGATCTAAAATTACAGGAAAAATCCTAAAAAAATCAGATATATAATATTGTAGAAATAAAAATAGAAACTTGTCTATATATGTGCATATCAGTTTGGTATTTTGCAAGTTATGAATATCGCAAAAATAAATCTTAATATGCAAAATTTAACACATCTGACGTATTTAAATGTTTCCAAAACGTATACATAATTAAGGAGAAGCTGATATTTCTTGTCGCGCTAATAATAGTGTGCTTCAATATTTAATTGCCCCAAAATCATATAAAAGTGACATAATTTAATTCTCGAGAGGAAGTATGTATAAGAATGTTAGAGAAAAGCGCATATGTTTATAAAATTACATCCGTAAGGATAATTGATGCAAAATCGATATCTCTTCTCTAGTTTCTATATTCGGCACAAGTCAAATTTCGAAAGTTAAGCGAATTGTTATTATGAATTAATATGATGATGATTATTTTAACGCGTATTTTGCATATTCAAAGTTGCTTTCAAAATATATGGATATATTCCGTCTATAACCTAAGTAAAAAATATATAATCTTATCATTAACTAATATCATTAAATAATATCGGATGATACAAAAAACTGTGCAATTCTCTTCCGCGTATTTCATATCAATTTTCCATTATTTTTTATAAACGGCGATATTTACGCGTGAGATAATGATCTATAGTTGAATAACAACTTACGGGCGTATTTTAATGTTAATCCTAGTTCCTCGATGATTTTTTTATCACGTTCAACCCATTCGACAACTGGATCAATTAAAATTGCTTCTTTATCGTTGATATCGGCCAACAAATACGTGTACGTGCTCGATATTGGATCGAAAAACTGGAAATTTAAATATTCTTTATTACTGTTTAGCAATATAATGCGAATACGCAATAAAATTACATTGTAAATAATAAGTTCTCATTTATAATATATATCGTTTTCCTGATTTTATCTTCATAATTGTATTATTATAAATAAAACTAAATATATATGTACATATCCATATTAAAGTATTGATTAATTAAAAAAAACAAATACAACAAAATAAAATGAGATAAAGCTAATCTCTTATCATATGACGCATAAGATATGATAATAAAGACATAGAAAAGATAAAATTATATTTACTGCACATATTTTCCACAATTCTAAACACGTACATCAAACAAAAAATATAAAAGATAATATGATCAATTTTATGCAAATGAGCGTTTTCACATTTGACAATGTTTAGCGAAATATATTTTAAATCTTGTTATATATGTTTTGTTTTTTCTGACTTTTGATTTATGTATAACACATAACTAGGAGAATAGCTAAAGATATAATTTTTTGAAAATGTGCGATTGTTCGAAACTGTTACCACAAAATATAAAATATTTTTTGTATTTTGTCCATTATTAATGCGCAACATTCACTAATCCTGTTAATAGCAAACCGTTTTTTGGACTAATTCAAATATATAATATTTCTCTTTTCATTGAAATATTCCATTTATGTTCCCACATACACAACTCTAAGTAAAAATAAAACTCACTAAACACATAAATCGGTATAACGAAAATATAATAGCATAATATTTTTCTGTTAAAACTATTTCTTTGTTAAATCAATATCTGTTTATAAGGATTCATTGTCGAAACAAGCATTAATTTCATTCAATTTCCAAATATAAATAGCATTACGTTACATTATAACTTATTATCTTAATGCTGTATTTTGTTAATATACATATATATATATATATATATATAACTTTGTTGGATTATAGAAATTAAAAAAGATATAAAAACAATAATAAATATTTTGCTTTTCATATTTCAGGATGAATCTGGCACCAATTACCTTTTGGCCAAAAAATCAAATTTTCGTTCAAACTATTTCAAATTTTTGCTATAATTGTAAATGGAAAAAAAACTGTATCAACGATATGCAATCATTAAAAAAAAATTTGTCCAATACAGTACATGTATTGCAGAAACAATACAAATTTGAAAATATCGTATTGAAACCATTATATGTAAAATCAATGTCGAGTTGAAAAACGTGTAACTCGCTTTCATTTAATAAACCAAAACAAATTTGTCGTTGTATATACAATATGTAGGAAATCTCTCAGAAATATGTACAATTAATGACATCCCTCGACATTTTCGTTAAAAAACGATCTATTTCAAATTTGCGCCCGTATGTAAAAATAACCCGTTTTTAATATATTCAGTTAGTCTGAAACATATAAATCGTAAACATGTAAATTTTACATTAAAATCATAATCAAAATAAATTTGATATTTGGCACTCTGGCTTTAATTTCGAATAACAAACGCCATTATATATATATATATATATATATACACCATTTACCTATAAACCTTTTTCTTTCTCCTTTTTATCCTTTTCAAAATTCTAATTTGTTTTGCACACAATATAAAAACATCTGCTTTTCATATACAATAAATGCAGCTAAAAAAAGAACAGAATTAAAAAACAGAATTTTTGATATGCTCTTTTTAGTTGCACTTTTCTAATTTCTTACAATTCTTACACGCATACTCAAGTTACATCAATTTTATTTTATTATAAGTACAGTGTAAATATAAGAAAAAATGCAGCTAAAAGAAATATTGGCTTTATATATCTGTTCGTTTCACTCTTTTACGACGTTTCTCGTGTATTTTGTTTCCTTTTTCTCTATTTCAACATTTTGAATATACAAAGATGTGAAAAATATTACATGTACTAGCAATAAAATACGCTATATATATATATTATATCGATTTATGTTTTTCTGAAATGTTTCGATGTAAAATATTTCGAAAATATATAAAACTAATAAGCAAGAAAGAACTGTAATAACTTTGAAGCTGGAAGGAAAATCCAGAGGAATACAGGATTTGATTTTTAATTTGACAATTTTTTTCACACCTTTATCGCAAATTATACGAAAAATGTGAAGAAATAAACAATAAAAAAATACCACCATTCCTACCTTGGATGTTTTCCATCTAACGGCCAATTTCGAGTCCGGTTAGATGAACCAACGGTTAAAATTAGCAGGATGGCCAACAGAAAATAGAGATTAAGGAAAACTAAGCATTCATGTAATTTCAGTTACCACGCTAACCACCCTGCTAATTTTAACCATCGGTTTATCTAACCGGACACAACTCTACTCCCATGATCACATGGAGCGAATTACAATTAATTTAATCATTTATCTCTCGTATATAATAAAAAAATAATACTATCGATCATTCTGCTAATTAGTCGACGATCAAATTAATCGGAATTGATCCAAATGACCATAGGAGTCGACTTGGCTAAATGGAAATTCATTGTCGCCGGATTGCAAGTGCAAGCGACCGCCCGTAAGATGACAGAGGCGGCTGACATGCGTAGATTGTTCTTCGTGCGACGTACCTGGCGAAACAGAAAATCCCTTGAAAAGGGCACCTGCTCCATCAGAACGTCGGCCATGGCGTGATTCGCGCGCGTCTTAATTCTCGGCGAAGTTAATACTCGACAGAGGATACGGATCATAATCGTCTTTAGATGACTTACATTAGTGCCGTCACGGGTATCGTCGCGCACTGATTCGTCACACGATCTACGTAACAATGACTGATGACGATGATAATCCGCCACTTTTACACATATCGTATCCATTGAGCAACATTATGCAATATGTACAGGAGATAAAGCTATTTCCTGTAAGGCTATATAACCTCTTTTAAAGCACACTGATTTGTTATTAATTGACTAATTGCTGAATCAGAAAATTTATTCGTATATCAACCAACTTTGGCATGAATTACCTAGTCTGTCCTCATTGAACGATATCCTGCCAACGTCGGTCACGCCATTTTGGGATCGAGGTTGCCCATCTTGAGAAATTTCATGATCCTAGCCGTTTTCTCCCAGACTCTGCTCGCTCTGCTCTTTCCGGTTAGCGCTCTCTTACCAAGGTGTGTTGTGATGACAGTTTTCTGGCAAATTAAACTGTTGTTGGTAAATTAAATCCGATAGTTGACGTAGAAATGTATGCAATTGATTTAATGACTTGTATGATTTTTACCAGTCATCAAAATTTCAGCCTAGAATGTTCAGCGCGTTGTTTTAATTCGTTCACCCATGTCACATGCGGGTGCACATGTCATTTTATGTGTTGGTTGTTTTATTAAGTTTTCTTTTCCACAGATGCCGTCTGTAACTTTAAAAGACGTGGATCAGCAAAAATTTGTGAAGGCTTTTGCAGCCTTTTTGAAAAAGTGAGTAACAAATATAGCCAGAACCTAACCTAAATCTCGCACATGTCATAATGCTTAAAATATACTAATATACTTGATAGAATCATTTATTAGATATTATCACATATTATATATATATATATATCTCTTTTCTGAAATATTGTACATAGCTTATAAAAATTCTTGTTCAATATTGTTACATGATAATACATAAACATATAATTTACTGCTCAAAAATGTCTTCTAATTCTACCTTGTACTTTGTGAAACTTTGTAGGACTGGCAAAATGCGTGTGCCAGAATGGGTGGACATTGTGAAGACAGCTAAATTCAAGGAACTGGCTCCTTACGATCCTGATTGGTATTACATTAGATGCGCAGCCCTGGTGCGTCACATTTATATTCGTAGCCCGATCGGAGTCGGTGCCGTTACAAAGATCTTTGGTGGACGCAAACGTAATGGTACTCATCCCAGTCACTTTTGCCGATCGGCGGGTGGTGTTGCGCGCAAGGCACTCCAAAGCCTGGAGCAGCTGAAGTTGATCGAGAAGGCACCTCTTGGTGGACGTAAATTGACTAGTCAGGGACGCAGGGACTTGGATCGAATAGCTGCGCAGGTTAAGGCTAAGAGCAAAAAACAGCTTAAGCTTCAAGAGACTGTACTTTAATATTATTTTATGTTTCTATAATAAAATTAGAAAACATTTAAACCTTTAAACTCTGCCTTTTTAAATTGTACTTAACAGAGTGTATAATGTAATATTTTATTTTATGGTTATAATCAAATTTATTTAATTTCTATTATCAGATTTATGATTTAATGAGATATTGCAACATTCTTCATTTCCAGCAATTTGTGATATATATACTCGAAAATCTCGAATGGTAATTTTACTAGGTTTTTGAAAAAGCCATTTTTATAGCAAAATTATGATGATAAATTAATGTCTGAAATATTTAATTATTGGTTAACTCTAAAATATCCAAATTTAACATATAAACATATATTTATATACATATATTAATTTTTAAATATATTAATCGCGTCCACATTCCACATCAAAACGCGACGTACAAATATTAGTCGATATCTCGAATTTCATCTCGCGCCATCAATCATTGGCCGCGTTCGGTAGAGAAAGCGCTCAGTTATTGTCTTGTCAACACTCGACGTTGATTTGTTGGTTCTAAAAGTAACAGCCAATCACGTTCGACTGCTGCTAAACGGTTCTTTGCTGAACGCGCCCATTTACGCGTCGCGTCGCCGCTCTAGGTATATTTTGTTTCGTGGCGTACGGAGTCCGGTGGCGCGGGCGTCGCCAGCGCCGCCGCAGTGAAACTTCGGCCGCAGTCGCGAGCGTTTCGGCGGTACTCGGCACCGACCGCGAATCAGTAGCTGATGCGCGATTTGATGCGAGATTGGCGTACGAAGGAGCATCTCGCGGACGCAACTGCGTACGCGCCCGCGCGCGGGTGTTGTGTGTTCATGTGTGCATAGTGCGGTACAAATATACGTGTGTGCGTCGGTCGGTCGGTCCGTTCCGTTCGCGGTGATATGTGCATGCGCGCATGGACGTATGCGTGGTGACCCGCGCTCTTGGTCGAGAGCGAGCTGCTGCTGCTACTATTATGTATCCTCGCGACGGCCGCTAGCTCGCCGCGACCATGTCGCGAAAATAATCGCGCCGGTCTCGCGAGTGTATGTGTCTGTCTGTCTCTCTCACTCTGCGCGAAATACGGAGAGGTGGTGGTCGCCGGATACGCTGCTCGAATCTGCCGTCTATCTTGCTCTTCCTCGTTCCTTGTCATTTATTTTCCTCTCTGTTTTTCTCTCCTTCTATCCCGGGTTCGCTTTTCCGCGCACTTCACACTCCTCCGTTTCTCTCTCTCTCTCTCTCTCTCTCTCTCTCTCTCTCACTCCTCGTCACTCGTTGTACCGGGACGACGTTTACACGGTACGTCACGGGAGAGAGACAAATAAGGTTGACCAGGGTGTCCCGCGGTATTCATGGTGAGAGACAACGGGTAAAGTGAACGGTGCGCGCGGTCGTCGACGACGACACAATACGACGACAACGAAGCGAGGGGAAGCCGCGGCAGCGAGAAGGGATCCCCGAAGGGACAGCCTCGGTTGCAGCTGGGCGCTTGGGGGCGGTAGGGCGGGGTGGGGTGGACGGCGGGAGACGGAACAACTGACAGAAAACAAGAAAGAGAGAGAGAGAGGAAAGATGCCGGGCCTAATCGCCGTAAGCGAGTTCGTCGAGGAGACGAGGGAGGATTATAACTCGCCCACCACGTCCACTTTCGTCTCGCGAATGCCACAGTGTAGACAGACCATCACGTCCCTCGAGGAGGTGAGTAGCGACACCATCATCGTCAACGTTCCCATAAATATTAATTAAAATTAGCTGCAAGCTTTAATTCTGACCCTCGACGTTATCTCGACTCTTATCCTCTGCAAAGTGACGGGGAATCGCTTCGAGTAAATTATAATGAGTGTTAATTAATAATTATGAGAACGGCCAATATAATACGTAGTCTCGATCGCGACATTTTCGTTTTTGTACTCCTATATATTTGCCATATTTTAATTTGTGAATAATATTTTTCTCGAGAGAGGACTGCATGTTGTCATCGACTTTTCTCATTTATTTCTCTATCTTTATTCGCTTCGTATCGAAGCCGCTTCTCTCTTTCTCTGTGTCAACGTTAACTATACCGGGTCGCGCGCGTGTTACCCCGTGCGTGGGCGTATTGTACCTATCGCACAGTATTGTGTGATTATACGCCGGGAACACGTTTGCAAATGTTCTCTGTCAATCCCGCGGATGCCGATAACTGTGATAACTCGTACATATAGCAGACACCAGGATATGATTGGACATTTTTTCTAACACTTTTGCAGTGTGTAACTCGTATGGATTTGTTTCTATGTAAAAATAAAAATCGGAAAAAATTATATTAGTTCGCAAATCGTTAATATATTTCTGATTTGCATCTATACGCGTGACAAATTAGTACTATTATATTATATATTTTCTACAAACTTTGTTATTATTTTACGCGAAGACATTAAGCTGGGATCGATCGTATAAGAATATTAATAATATAATTCACGCAGATATAACATTTTAAAAATTATTCTTCATTTTTTATTCGCAGTTAATTGTTATCTATTTCGATATATTTAATGTGAAAATTCCTCAAGGGTGTAAGAGAGTGGGGACCGATTTTATTATCTTCCGTTATCATTAACGCTTTAACGCTTTAAAGCTGATGCTAATACCGAGGTATTTAAACTGCGAAATAGTCGATGATGATGCTAAAATGTGAAGAAATAAACAATAAAAAAATACCACCATTCCTACCTTGGATGTTTTCCATCTAACGGCCAATTTCGAGTCCGGTTAGATGAACCAACGGTTAAAATTAGCAGGATGGCCAACAGAAAATAGAGATTAAGGAAAACTAAGCATTCATGTAATTTCAGTTACCACGCTAACCACCCTGCTAATTTTAACCATCGGTTTATCTAACCGGACACAACTCTACTCCCATGATCACATGGAGCGAATTACAATTAATTTAATCATTTATCTCTCGTATATAATAAAAAAATAATACTATCGATCATTCTGCTAATTAGTCGACGATCAAATTAATCGGAATTGATCCAAATGACCATAGGAGTCGACTTGGCTAAATGGAAATTCATTGTCGCCGGATTGCAAGTGCAAGCGACCGCCCGTAAGATGACAGAGGCGGCTGACATGCGTAGATTGTTCTTCGTGCGACGTACCTGGCGAAACAGAAAATCCCTTGAAAAGGGCACCTGCTCCATCAGAACGTCGGCCATGGCGTGATTCGCGCGCGTCTTAATTCTCGGCGAAGTTAATACTCGACAGAGGATACGGATCATAATCGTCTTTAGATGACTTACATTAGTGCCGTCACGGGTATCGTCGCGCACTGATTCGTCACACGATCTACGTAACAATGACTGATGACGATGATAATCCGCCACTTTTACACATATCGTATCCATTGAGCAACATTATGCAATATGTACAGGAGATAAAGCTATTTCCTGTAAGGCTATATAACCTCTTTTAAAGCACACTGATTTGTTATTAATTGACTAATTGCTGAATCAGAAAATTTATTCGTATATCAACCAACTTTGGCATGAATTACCTAGTCTGTCCTCATTGAACGATATCCTGCCAACGTCGGTCACGCCATTTTGGGATCGAGGTTGCCCATCTTGAGAAATTTCATGATCCTAGCCGTTTTCTCCCAGACTCTGCTCGCTCTGCTCTTTCCGGTTAGCGCTCTCTTACCAAGGTGTGTTGTGATGACAGTTTTCTGGCAAATTAAACTGTTGTTGGTAAATTAAATCCGATAGTTGACGTAGAAATGTATGCAATTGATTTAATGACTTGTATGATTTTTACCAGTCATCAAAATTTCAGCCTAGAATGTTCAGCGCGTTGTTTTAATTCGTTCACCCATGTCACATGCGGGTGCACATGTCATTTTATGTGTTGGTTGTTTTATTAAGTTTTCTTTTCCACAGATGCCGTCTGTAACTTTAAAAGACGTGGATCAGCAAAAATTTGTGAAGGCTTTTGCAGCCTTTTTGAAAAAGTGAGTAACAAATATAGCCAGAACCTAACCTAAATCTCGCACATGTCATAATGCTTAAAATATACTAATATACTTGATAGAATCATTTATTAGATATTATCACATATTATATATATATATATATCTCTTTTCTGAAATATTGTACATAGCTTATAAAAATTCTTGTTCAATATTGTTACATGATAATACATAAACATATAATTTACTGCTCAAAAATGTCTTCTAATTCTACCTTGTACTTTGTGAAACTTTGTAGGACTGGCAAAATGCGTGTGCCAGAATGGGTGGACATTGTGAAGACAGCTAAATTCAAGGAACTGGCTCCTTACGATCCTGATTGGTATTACATTAGATGCGCAGCCCTGGTGCGTCACATTTATATTCGTAGCCCGATCGGAGTCGGTGCCGTTACAAAGATCTTTGGTGGACGCAAACGTAATGGTACTCATCCCAGTCACTTTTGCCGATCGGCGGGTGGTGTTGCGCGCAAGGCACTCCAAAGCCTGGAGCAGCTGAAGTTGATCGAGAAGGCACCTCTTGGTGGACGTAAATTGACTAGTCAGGGACGCAGGGACTTGGATCGAATAGCTGCGCAGGTTAAGGCTAAGAGCAAAAAACAGCTTAAGCTTCAAGAGACTGTACTTTAATATTATTTTATGTTTCTATAATAAAATTAGAAAACATTTAAACCTTTAAACTCTGCCTTTTTAAATTGTACTTAACAGAGTGTATAATGTAATATTTTATTTTATGGTTATAATCAAATTTATTTAATTTCTATTATCAGATTTATGATTTAATGAGATATTGCAACATTCTTCATTTCCAGCAATTTGTGATATATATACTCGAAAATCTCGAATGGTAATTTTACTAGGTTTTTGAAAAAGCCATTTTTATAGCAAAATTATGATGATAAATTAATGTCTGAAATATTTAATTATTGGTTAACTCTAAAATATCCAAATTTAACATATAAACATATATTTATATACATATATTAATTTTTAAATATATTAATCGCGTCCACATTCCACATCAAAACGCGACGTACAAATATTAGTCGATATCTCGAATTTCATCTCGCGCCATCAATCATTGGCCGCGTTCGGTAGAGAAAGCGCTCAGTTATTGTCTTGTCAACACTCGACGTTGATTTGTTGGTTCTAAAAGTAACAGCCAATCACGTTCGACTGCTGCTAAACGGTTCTTTGCTGAACGCGCCCATTTACGCGTCGCGTCGCCGCTCTAGGTATATTTTGTTTCGTGGCGTACGGAGTCCGGTGGCGCGGGCGTCGCCAGCGCCGCCGCAGTGAAACTTCGGCCGCAGTCGCGAGCGTTTCGGCGGTACTCGGCACCGACCGCGAATCAGTAGCTGATGCGCGATTTGATGCGAGATTGGCGTACGAAGGAGCATCTCGCGGACGCAACTGCGTACGCGCCCGCGCGCGGGTGTTGTGTGTTCATGTGTGCATAGTGCGGTACAAATATACGTGTGTGCGTCGGTCGGTCGGTCCGTTCCGTTCGCGGTGATATGTGCATGCGCGCATGGACGTATGCGTGGTGACCCGCGCTCTTGGTCGAGAGCGAGCTGCTGCTGCTACTATTATGTATCCTCGCGACGGCCGCTAGCTCGCCGCGACCATGTCGCGAAAATAATCGCGCCGGTCTCGCGAGTGTATGTGTCTGTCTGTCTCTCTCACTCTGCGCGAAATACGGAGAGGTGGTGGTCGCCGGATACGCTGCTCGAATCTGCCGTCTATCTTGCTCTTCCTCGTTCCTTGTCATTTATTTTCCTCTCTGTTTTTCTCTCCTTCTATCCCGGGTTCGCTTTTCCGCGCACTTCACACTCCTCCGTTTCTCTCTCTCTCTCTCTCTCTCTCTCTCTCTCTCTCACTCCTCGTCACTCGTTGTACCGGGACGACGTTTACACGGTACGTCACGGGAGAGAGACAAATAAGGTTGACCAGGGTGTCCCGCGGTATTCATGGTGAGAGACAACGGGTAAAGTGAACGGTGCGCGCGGTCGTCGACGACGACACAATACGACGACAACGAAGCGAGGGGAAGCCGCGGCAGCGAGAAGGGATCCCCGAAGGGACAGCCTCGGTTGCAGCTGGGCGCTTGGGGGCGGTAGGGCGGGGTGGGGTGGACGGCGGGAGACGGAACAACTGACAGAAAACAAGAAAGAGAGAGAGAGAGGAAAGATGCCGGGCCTAATCGCCGTAAGCGAGTTCGTCGAGGAGACGAGGGAGGATTATAACTCGCCCACCACGTCCACTTTCGTCTCGCGAATGCCACAGTGTAGACAGACCATCACGTCCCTCGAGGAGGTGAGTAGCGACACCATCATCGTCAACGTTCCCATAAATATTAATTAAAATTAGCTGCAAGCTTTAATTCTGACCCTCGACGTTATCTCGACTCTTATCCTCTGCAAAGTGACGGGGAATCGCTTCGAGTAAATTATAATGAGTGTTAATTAATAATTATGAGAACGGCCAATATAATACGTAGTCTCGATCGCGACATTTTCGTTTTTGTACTCCTATATATTTGCCATATTTTAATTTGTGAATAATATTTTTCTCGAGAGAGGACTGCATGTTGTCATCGACTTTTCTCATTTATTTCTCTATCTTTATTCGCTTCGTATCGAAGCCGCTTCTCTCTTTCTCTGTGTCAACGTTAACTATACCGGGTCGCGCGCGTGTTACCCCGTGCGTGGGCGTATTGTACCTATCGCACAGTATTGTGTGATTATACGCCGGGAACACGTTTGCAAATGTTCTCTGTCAATCCCGCGGATGCCGATAACTGTGATAACTCGTACATATAGCAGACACCAGGATATGATTGGACATTTTTTCTAACACTTTTGCAGTGTGTAACTCGTATGGATTTGTTTCTATGTAAAAATAAAAATCGGAAAAAATTATATTAGTTCGCAAATCGTTAATATATTTCTGATTTGCATCTATACGCGTGACAAATTAGTACTATTATATTATATATTTTCTACAAACTTTGTTATTATTTTACGCGAAGACATTAAGCTGGGATCGATCGTATAAGAATATTAATAATATAATTCACGCAGATATAACATTTTAAAAATTATTCTTCATTTTTTATTCGCAGTTAATTGTTATCTATTTCGATATATTTAATGTGAAAATTCCTCAAGGGTGTAAGAGAGTGGGGACCGATTTTATTATCTTCCGTTATCATTAACGCTTTAACGCTTTAAAGCTGATCTCTCTCTCTCTCTCTCTCTCTCTCTCTCTCTCTCTCACTCCTCGTCACTCGTTGTACCGGGACGACGTTTACACGGTACGTCACGGGAGAGAGACAAATAAGGTTGACCAGGGTGTCCCGCGGTATTCATGGTGAGAGACAACGGGTAAAGTGAACGGTGCGCGCGGTCGTCGACGACGACACAATACGACGACAACGAAGCGAGGGGAAGCCGCGGCAGCGAGAAGGGATCCCCGAAGGGACAGCCTCGGTTGCAGCTGGGCGCTTGGGGGCGGTAGGGCGGGGTGGGGTGGACGGCGGGAGACGGAACAACTGACAGAAAACAAGAAAGAGAGAGAGAGAGGAAAGATGCCGGGCCTAATCGCCGTAAGCGAGTTCGTCGAGGAGACGAGGGAGGATTATAACTCGCCCACCACGTCCACTTTCGTCTCGCGAATGCCACAGTGTAGACAGACCATCACGTCCCTCGAGGAGGTGAGTAGCGACACCATCATCGTCAACGTTCCCATAAATATTAATTAAAATTAGCTGCAAGCTTTAATTCTGACCCTCGACGTTATCTCGACTCTTATCCTCTGCAAAGTGACGGGGAATCGCTTCGAGTAAATTATAATGAGTGTTAATTAATAATTATGAGAACGGCCAATATAATACGTAGTCTCGATCGCGACATTTTCGTTTTTGTACTCCTATATATTTGCCATATTTTAATTTGTGAATAATATTTTTCTCGAGAGAGGACTGCATGTTGTCATCGACTTTTCTCATTTATTTCTCTATCTTTATTCGCTTCGTATCGAAGCCGCTTCTCTCTTTCTCTGTGTCAACGTTAACTATACCGGGTCGCGCGCGTGTTACCCCGTGCGTGGGCGTATTGTACCTATCGCACAGTATTGTGTGATTATACGCCGGGAACACGTTTGCAAATGTTCTCTGTCAATCCCGCGGATGCCGATAACTGTGATAACTCGTACATATAGCAGACACCAGGATATGATTGGACATTTTTTCTAACACTTTTGCAGTGTGTAACTCGTATGGATTTGTTTCTATGTAAAAATAAAAATCGGAAAAAATTATATTAGTTCGCAAATCGTTAATATATTTCTGATTTGCATCTATACGCGTGACAAATTAGTACTATTATATTATATATTTTCTACAAACTTTGTTATTATTTTACGCGAAGACATTAAGCTGGGATCGATCGTATAAGAATATTAATAATATAATTCACGCAGATATAACATTTTAAAAATTATTCTTCATTTTTTATTCGCAGTTAATTGTTATCTATTTCGATATATTTAATGTGAAAATTCCTCAAGGGTGTAAGAGAGTGGGGACCGATTTTATTATCTTCCGTTATCATTAACGCTTTAACGCTTTAAAGCTGATGCTAATACCGAGGTATTTAAACTGCGAAATAGTCGATGATGATGCTATCATTATTAACGTCGTACGTGCTTTGAAATCCGATTTCCTTACCAAGAAACTAGCTGCGTTACCGGCTTGCATTTATTGCTCGATGGTTCATTTCTCTTCCTATATTAGTAACGCATTATAAATGTTCTTATGCAAACACGTCCGATATGTCATCACTTTAGAACGTGAAATGTTAAAGAAGATAAAAACTAAACTGTCTTATAAAGCGCCCATAGAATAGCTTGACATAAAAAATTGTAATACTCATAGAAATATTCGATACCGCATTTTTTTACGAAGTCGTCAGCATCTGTATGACTGTCATTTCATCAGCTGCCGGCACGATTATCGCTTCGCGTCGACGCTCTTAATTTGCGGATGCTTGAATGGCTATGATACTGTATCTCTGTCAAATAGAATCCAACTAATAGTTTGAGCGTAGAACATGTGTATTCTATGCTAATGTAAGATATAGCTAACAAGCATAGTGCAAATATTATATTGAGCTCGACAAATCTATTTTTCATTTTTTTTTTTTTTTTTCATATAATAAAATGAAACAATAAAATTTATTTAAATTGGAATATTTATGTTTAATAGAGAAAGAAACCGCTGAAAAAAACTCTCCCCTAAAAAAAGACTTTATTTAAATATAAATTATTCTATCACTTAAATATTTGTATATTAATTATTGAATTGTTATCAATTTACGTGTTGGAAACGCATTTTTATTTTAAAAGATTAAAAACTGTTCGACGATATCTAATACAAAATAAAATTGACTTAGTGTTAATAAAAATATATAGAGAGAGATGGATTTATTGATAAAATTTATTATATATAGTATATGAGAATTCTCACACTTTCTTCTCTCTCTATACCACTTGTTCTATAACTGTTTTTATCGGACGTGTTGCTCAAATGTTTTTATAAGATACCGTGTAGTAGTCTATCATTTTATATGGCTTATACATTTACAATGATGGAATGTTAGTGGAATGGCCATCCATAACGTATTCCATTAAAAATTGCTATTCAAAATGAAAAAAATAATTAATGGAAATAGCTATCTAAATAAAAAATGCTTTATTTCCTATCGCTAAAATGTCATTAATTTGCTATATATATATACATACACATATATCGCAAATAATATTCGAAAGAGAGAGAAAGAGAGAGATGAAGCCAAATGAAGTTCTTTATAAGATGACATTTCGCATAATTGCTGGATATATTGAGCGCTCGCGGACTTTATACGTAACCCACAAAACTAGCAATCAAAAATAACGGCTTCTTTTTATTGCTCATCCACTATCATGTGCCACTACTCAGCGTTTTAAAAATTCCGTTTTGTTCTTTTATCTTTCCTTAGACACCTAATGAACAATATGTGACCTCAAATACTTAATGAATAAGATCATAAATTCCGAGATAAAACCGCAGACCCAATTTTTTATCAGACAAATAACTAATTTATACCATTTTTAGACATATTGATCGAATCAATAAATTCAAGGATGATTTTGCGGGCTAACTTTTACGGGACTTTCACAGAGTCATATATGTGTAATAATAATCTCATAAAAAAATTAATTTCCGATTGGGAGACAGCTTTGTGATTGTTTTTGCAAAAATATTTTACTGAATAGGAATTAGAATTAAATCACACATTTTGATTTTGATATTACTTCCAAAAATTGTAACAATTTAAATATTAATTTCGCTCATTCATTTAATTCGATTGTAAAATTTAAACTAATTTTTTTTTAGAAGATACAAAAAAATATGATAGGAAAATAAAAAAGATACAGTTCTAAAATATACAAAGATAGAGAAGATTAGTATTAAAGTGAGTATCTAATTCGAAGAAATGAAAGAATGAATTCTGATCCAACTGTATGGATTCCTCTATAGTGTATTTTACGGATATGCAGCGGATATGAAGATTCTAATAATATCTGTGCTCCCTTTTGACATATACTTATTTCACATATAAAATTCTTACGTAATCTCGAGATAAAAAATTTTTCACCGACCAACAACGAGAAGCTTTGCCTTGTTAGTTCTGCTTGAAGAAAAATATATTCAATATTCCCTTTGGCGTGTCGGAATTTTTGGGTCACTCGTTCTCTCTTCTCACAGAGAAGGAGAAAGAGGAAAAGAGATGCACGTCGTTCACGTCTCTTTAACGATCCAAAGAATTTGTGCGAAGAGAAAATTCCGCTAGAAGCATGTTCGTAGATCCAATCTTCTTCTTGTCGTCTTCTTGTTCTTCTTTTCCTCGCCGAGGATTCTTTCCTCATCGCGGTAACGATTATAAGTTTCGCAGTTATGGACATGTTGACAGACAGTGACGTATAATCTCGTCACGGTAAGATTTTTTTTTTTTTTTTTTTTTTTTTTTTTGACGACGTGACGACATTCTTACATATTTAATAAAAGATAATTCAGATTTTGCTTTATATCATTATTTCTTAGATAAACGTAAATATGCAAACTTAGTTTTTAGCGCATAAATATTTTGATTTTCAATTGTTAATATTCAGTTTTTATTCAATTTTATTAATTTTTGACATTCAACACTCATTTCTCTGTCAACTTTCAATTTTTTAATGTCACAACTTTTAACTTACAATACATTATACACTATCATTATGCACGAATAACACAGTTAACAATAAAAATTGTGTAAATAAATAGTAATATATAACACTCCGCAGTTGCAAATTAATTTAACATTTAAATCATATAAGCTTCATTCTTACATGATTCATATATGAGCAGTTTATTTGACATACATTAGTCTAAATTAAATTTCGAATTTATCGTTAAGATAAGTGGATTCGTGTTTTATTTAAGTTCTCTTTCATTCTCTCGCTCTCCCTTTTACCAGTAACAAAAATAGAACGCGGCGGATCCTAAAATAGCGACGCTCGAATTTCATAGACTGTCATAAGTCCCAATTGCTAAAACGGGAAAGTGGGTAAATCGAAGACAGGGTCAAGAGTACTAGAATGACGCTGCTCGAACTGACTCTCTAAAATTACATTATAAATAATGAAAACTCTATATATATATATATATATACACAAAGATATTTCGCTCGCCGAGCACAAAAGACGAGTGTCGCTTTTTGTTACTTTAGCAATCTCGCAGTATAAATTATTAATTTCGACGTAATATATTAAGATTATGATTTTTTTATAAGAAAAATGCATAATATCTGCATTAATGCATAATATTTATGAAAAGAGCAACGTTGCGCGATCAAGATTTTAAGAAATATTCTCTCGAGAACAATTGTTAACATATTATCTACAAAGAACTTTTTATCCGAGTAAAAAATATTATGAAAAAAAGATTTCAAATCGGCTATTATATGTACAAATAACACTATTCTCGACTCAAAATATTTTTAATAGTGCGCAGTGTAGTTGTAATGGTTTCACAATTTTTTCTCGATAACGACTACGCGAAAGCAAGAACAATGCTTGCATCGCAAATGAACGATTCTATTAACGCGGGATGATGTAAGAGTCATTCGGGTACTCGAAGGCGTCGAGTAGACGGACAGGATCTATTATCTTGCATGCATTTGATTATCGGGCGAACGTTAATCGCTCGTAAGGACGACATTTTACGATCGTAAGAGCCATCAGACACTCGGAATTATAGTTTGGCAAACGATCTAGAGAATCTAGACCGATGGCGTGATACAATCAATTTCGGTCAAGCGTGAATACGACCGGATTAAATATACGCCCAATTCTAACAGAATCAAACTTTGACTTAATAGAGTAATAATAATAAAAATATGAATTATTACTATGTGTGTATTGTCTATATTAGATAATTTACTATATATTAATAACAGAAAATAAATTTTCCTATAAATCTTATTACTAATAATAATAATAATAATAATTGCTATTATTATTTTGTTTGATACGAGCAACTGTGTGTGTGCGCACTTTTCAATGACGCAAACTCTTACGAATAAGAAACGAAAAAATACATTCAATAAAGCAAAATGATCAGTGTTATTCACT